TAATTCCCACCAAACTTAGAAAGAAATAAAACAAACTCACACTTTCAATTTAACGTCCCTTTCCCAATCTTTTCAAAGTACGAAAACTTAATCCAAATGAAAACAATACTGTCTGCACAATTTCCCTTGCAAGGAGATATGAGAGATATTTAGTCATGACATGGGCAGGACAGAAAGGAGCTCTCATCGGAGCAGTACCTGAGCAATAACAGGGGCTTTTTGAATACCTGTACGTTCTGTTATGACAATGTAATACGTAATGATAATTATGAACATTAGCAAACCTGGCTAGTTTCAGACTTCACTTTTGTTGCTTGTATTAAAAAAAGAAAAAGAAAAAAAAAAAAGAAGGAGCAACATCAGGAGCACTGGCACTCTCTGCAGTTAACAAATGCCAGCTGCACAACAGAAAAAAATGACCAATACAGAGAGAACACCAGGCTCTTCCTAATCCCGAAATTCTCTTGCTCCTCTTTCCTGTTCCAGACCAGCAGTAGAATCCCTGTACAAACCCACCTCCTCAACGAATCATCAGCAATGTGTAACTAGTCCCAAAGCAATGGTCCAGGACTCTCCCTGTCTCCTAAGGGCTTACTCCCAATGAATGAGAACAGGTTGCACAGGTTTAAATATGTTTATCTCCCCCATTTACGGCTAGTTCTGCCACAAAGTAAAAAGTGGATGCTTTCTGAAGCATGCAAACATTTGCAGAGAAGTCAGATATATGATCGTTATGACCTAGTATGAAATACAATGGAAAGTTATCCGTAATTTTCATGTTACTGGCCAGTAGCATTTTGAAAATGCAAATCTTCCCCCTAGAAGGAAATAAAGATCCTAAATGTATTTTCCCGGCTTATGTTACACCTACAGATTTCATGCCTCCCACAAGTCCCTTCCTACGGTGCATCATCTTACTTCTCACTGAGGGAAGCAGAGCTGCAGAAAGACACTAGAAAAGCAACACCCATCTGACATATGCTGGATCAAAAAAACCCTACCACTATTTATTATGAAGGCTCAAATTTTTTTAATAGTCTTATTTTTCTCCACAGCTGTCACAATGCAACTGGATCCTATTTCACTTCTCACTCTTTTCCCATACAAGTCAGGCTGTTTATTTGCCCATAACCTAAACAGGTGCATGCCTAGTGTGGAAGAAAGCAAACCATCTTTCTTTGATTAGGTAAAACTATCGTTTAGCCTACTTCACAGAATCTCCACACTTACAGTCCTCTTACCCATACTTCTATTTACTATTACACTTGCAAGCCATTTATATGCCACCTCAATCATCCTTGTGTGCTGATCATGAAATTGACTATATAATTCATAAGTAAAAAACATGTGTTTTATAGCTCACGGGTTAAAGCACTGGTTTGGTAAAACAGGGGTTGCGAGTTATTCTTTAGGTTGGACTAGATGATCTTCAAAGACCTTTCCAACCTAAACCATTCTATGTTTCTGTGTTTTACACTCTTGAGACATACACAGACTTTACTCCAGGCTGCTAAGTTAAAAGGAGAAGAACGCCACCCCTTCTCATGCAAGCCACGGATCTAACAGAACATATGAAGACACTCATATGTACCTCAACTGCATGTTTACTCCACACCCTGGAGCTGGCAGCAGACATGTTGAATTCTGTGCCAGCATGTACTATTTTGTTTCAGAAGTTTATGTTTTTCCAAAACTAGTCTTTCTAGAAATGCTGAAGCTATGGACTACTGTGTTAAAGTTTGTCAAAATGAACAGGTAAAAAAATTAGCCCATTATATCCTTCAATAAAATCTTAATTACTTCAAATGATGGGCCCAACAAAATGGGTCACTCATTCTTACAGATCATTTTGTACAAAATTAAAGATCCAAAAGCTTGGAACTTAATAAATTGTTACTACAAACAGCGTGCAATTACTAAGCAATGGTTTTTGCACAAGTTACTTAAAAATATGAGTATATAATTTAATATTTTACAATTATGTCAGAGTGATACCCATTTTTCTTTGCCTTAAAAAAATCTATGAACCATGAACTCTTTCACATTAAGCTAGATATGCTAGTCACATCCAGAAGGTTTTAAGATGATCAAAAAATGTATCAAGGCTTATGGATTAATTAAAAAAACCAAACCTTAAGTATTTAACGTGGAGAATCTCAGTGTGCTATAGGATAACTTAGGAGCTCAATCATCCAAACAATTCACAGGAACACAGTTCCTGATGCAACAAACTTTCATTATTAACAGTTACATGTGAACAAAGGTGGCAAATAACAAGAAAGAGGAAGAACAGTAACAAACCAGGATTACAACAATACAGCGAGTTCCAAGTGCATGCAAGCCTTGAATTAGTAACTTTGCATGCATAAATCAAAAGCTTATTTCAGATTATAATAATTTATAAACTGGAGAACATCCTACCCATGCGGCTTCCTTCCATTTTACAATCTTTGTATTAACTAAGCTTGTGACATCGTGTCGACCACTTACTAGCAATGCAGCTGCTTAGGAAGCAGAGGGTGAGCCCATCCCAATCTCCAGCCAAAGATCAGGTTAGTCTACTTCCATATTTGTATATTTATGTTAATGTTACCTTCTACAGAGAAGTTTTGAAAACTATCTTCTCTTGGGAAATACAGCCTCACCTTCTTTCATGGGTCAGTGGTTATGAGTTTAGTGTGACATCAAGAAAAGTGCATCCTAGCACTTGACAAAGGAAAGTGCACGTGTGGGGAGGAAAAGAATATAAAGTAGTTGCTCTTTAAAAACTCAGAAAGAAAACATGCGAGTTAAAAATGAACAAGCACCTTGACATAATTCAAAAAAGTCCAAAGCTTTTTTTCTTTTAAACAGTTGCATTAATTCATAACTTGAAGAACTGAAGAAAAGGAAGGAATTTTAAAACATGTAAAATTTAGCTTCAAAGTGTGCATTTGGAATTTAAGTCATTTGCCTACATGACTAAACATTTTTAGAGAATGATGTTGTTATTCAAAAGAAAAATCAGTTCCTTTGTACTCCTGCCAAGATGCAAGTTGAACCTTCTACTTTCCTTCCTTCCTTCCAAACAGTAACTAACCTAGTAGTTCAGGTGCTAAAGAAGTCACAAGATGTTACAGAATTTAAAGGTAGTAAAGGACTTAAAGAATATATGCACTAGGTATATTTTATGAATAATCCATACACAAAAAGTTATACTAGCAAAGGAGCATTTTTGACAGAATGACAGCAACAGCCTTAAGCAAACCAAACTAAACTAAAAGGGGAGTTGCTGGTATTACTGCACTATTATTCTCAACTTAGTGCCTGTCCATTGAAGCCCAGATAGTAATTATGTACATGCGTTTATTCTACCACATCCCACGGTGAATTAACTTATCTGAAAGTGCTTTAAACCTGGCATGTTTATAGGCCAGATCCAACTTTGTTTTGGATGACTGGTACATACAGCAATCCCATCTCTGCCTTATCATTCTCTCTCCAG